AAAAAGTAATTTAAAAACCACCAACAAAAAAAAAGCCCTGGCCCGGATGGCTTCACTGGAGAATTCTACCAAACTTTCAGAGAAGAGTTAACACCACTTCTACTAAAGATATTTCAGAGCATAGAAAAGGATGGAATACTCCCAAACTCATTCTAGGAAGCCAGAACAACCCTGATACCAAAACCAGGCAAAGACATCACAAAAAAAAAAGAAAATTACAGACCAATATCCCTCATGAACATTGACACAAAATCCTCAACAAAATTCTAGCCAACAGAATTCAGCAACATATCAAAAAAATAATTCACCACAACCAAGAATTAGTAATGGGGATAATTCATATTTTATGTGATATTCCATAGCTGGGATAATCAAATGCTTATCAGAATAAAACCTGGAGAGTGTATTTTTATCCTCGTTTTCTGAAAACTTTGAAATATTAGGGGAAATGAAGCCATACCCAGTTGATTGCAAATTAAGTTATCATCCCACGGTCCTGAAGTTTAGAGGCTCTCAAACTTTTTATGGGAAACAAGGATCTAGAGGTGCCCAGAGTGAAACAGGTGGCCCATCAATAACCACTAAAAAAATCTTAACACATTACTGTAAGCAGTTTTCATATGTGGTTCAGCTATCATCTCTTTTGTCACCAATATATGTTTTCTACAACTAGCACTGCCTGCTGGCAACACACACCCTAGACTACACATTGCTCTTCCATACTGCCCTAAAATAGGACTTAAAAGCTTAAAGAATTTCACGTAAACGAAATATCATCATTAAAAAATATTGTGGAGAGAGGCCCTAAAGACATGAAGTGTCAGGAAAAGAATCAATTTGTTCTGCAGGATTGTTATATAAAGATTACAAATAAAATATTTCTGATAGAACTATTGTAATTTTGACTACTCGGTTTTCAAGTTTGCAAATTTCTCCACTGTTTTCTCTATGACATGGGAGCAAGAATATTGGAATCTTTAAGTTACTCTCTAAAACCAAAAACCAAACCCATTGCCGTTGAGTCAGTGCCGACTCACAGTGACCGCACAGGACAGAGTAGAACTGCCTCATCAGGTTTCCAAGGATGAGTTGGTGGATTCGAACTGCCAACATTTTGGTTAGCAGTGAAGCTCTTAACCACTGCACCATCAGGGCTCCAAGTTACTCTATAGCTAGAGATAATCATATATTCTCACCAAATATTTAAAAGTAAAGAAAAAGCAAAACACATACCAAAGTTTTGTCCACAACAACATGTATTTCTAGGTAAAGAGGATACAAATTTGGAACAGCTGCTTCTGCCTGAAAAAAAGAAAAACAGAATTTAAAGGCTTGAACATTTTCATAATATGTTTTATTCTGAGCTCTTTAATAAATCTGCAACCACAGAATTTACATGATATGCTAGGTGTTTGCGTTTCACAATTGGTTAATACCAATGTATTGTGCTTTAAGTTTCATGACATAGACTCAAGTAATAATAACATCAGTTATGAAGCTATAATATATTACTCATTAGAAACAACTAGTCTCTAACCATCTACTTCATCTGTTTATCAGAAAGAAATTAAACTTCTGCTCAAAACTGCCACCATGCACCCCCACTGCCCCACCCAAAAGCCTGCTGCCACCAGTTATGGAATGAGAAGCCATCCTAGATCAGCCAGCCCCTAGCCAACCTGCCACCTAACTATAGGCATATGAGCAAGCTCCACTGATCACTACCACTGCCCAGCTGACTCACAGACCAAAACAAACAAATAAACCAGTTGTTGTTGAGTGGATTCTGACTCATACAATCCCATGTGTTTCAGAGTAGAACTGCATAGGGTTTTCAATGGCTGTGATCTTTCAGAATTAGACCAGCAGGCCTTTCTTCCAAGGTGCCTCTGGGTGGATACGTACAGCCAACCTTTGGTTAGTAGCCAAGGACTTAACCATTTGCGCCACCCAGAGCCTCACAGACAAGTGTTATTGTTATTTGCCATCAAGTCAATTCCAGCTCTTAGCGACCCTATAGGACAGAGCAGAACTGCCTCACAGGGTTTCCTAGGCTGTAATCTTTACAGGAGCAGATCACTAGGTCTTTTCTCCTGCAAAGCCGCTGGTGGATTCTAACAGCCAACTTTTCAGTTAGCAGCCGAGCACTTAACCTTCGCACCACCAGGGCTCCTTCACAGACAGGTAAGTAATAATAAATGGTTGCAATTTTAATTTTAAGGCTCTAAATCTTGGGTAAGGAGCACTGGTGGTGCAGTGGTTAAGCACTCAGTCACTAACTGAAAGATAGGTAGGCAAAAGGTCATGAAATTTATATTTTCACATTTCTATATGTGTATAAAATTAAATACAAACAACACAGAAAATCGCAAAAGGATAAAGTGAAAGAACCCACATCTTGACATTTCATTGTAAAACTGCTAAATGTGAAAGACAAAGATAATCTTTAAAACTGACAGAAAATACAAAGTTCCTAAATACAAATAACATTTAGAATGACTGCACACTTACCAGCATCAAAAGGAGTCAGAATAGAATAAATTGATATCTTAAAAATAATAAGGGGGAAAACTATCAATCCATACTTCCATATAGAGAAAACTATTATTCAAGAGAAAAGTGAAATAAAGACATTTTTAGATACAGGAAAAATACAAGCATTTATTGCCACAGACTCCTGTAGCAGGATGTACTTCAGTGGAAAAAAAATTTGTAAATGTAAGTATTCATATTATAAATTGTAAAAGTCCTTTAAAGAATTAAAAGAAAATAAATATCCTCCAAACAAATTAAAAAAAAAAAAAAACAGTGGGAATAAGAAATCTCAATAAAATCAACACAGGATGGAAAGAACATAAAGGAAGGAGGAGGAAGTGAAGGAGAAAGAAGAGAAAAAGAAAGAAAAGTTGCTAAATAGAAAACAAACAAAAATTGGCAGTAAAGGACTTAAATATGTGTTTAAAAGGCAGATATTTTCAAAGAGAACTTAAAAAATTAAATCTAGCTATAAGCTAGAAATATGTATACAACAGAATGCTGTCTCAGAAACACAGAAAAGTAAAGGGGCATAAAAATATACAGCAGGTAAACACTAATAAAAATAAACACAGTGTAGGAATATTAACAACAGATGAAATAGAATACCAGGTAATTATCATTAAAAGGAATAAAGAGAGTAAACTCTCAGTGAGATGGATCGACACAATAGCCATAACAATGTTTTTGTACCAATAAACAAACCAAATCATAACAAAAATCACGCTGTTATACAAGCATCTAACAATATAACCTCAAAATGAAAAACTCATATAATAAGAACTGTTTGAAATATGCTCATAAAACTAAAGAATTCAACAGAGCAATTGGAAAATACAGTCAAGAAAATTTCCCAGAAGGCAAATCAAGAAGCAACAAAGATATAGAAAACATAAGAGAAAGGATAAAACCAAAGCAGGATGTCCAATACCTGACTAATAAGGATTCCAGAGGGATCAAGGAAATGGAAGGTAATAAAAGGAGAAGAGGAATCAGGGAAAAATAAGAGGGGAAGAAAAATCACCCAAAATAAAAATAAGAATCATATTGGTCTCACAGTTCTGATCAATAATACTGATTGCTAGAAGGCAATGCCTTCAAATTTCTGAGAACAATATTTTTATTTTTATTTGATTTTTATACAGAAATTCTATGCATAATAAAAAAGAAAATAAGTTTGAGAGCACAATAAAAATATTTTAAGATATGCAAAATCTTCAGAATATTGGGGAAAGGTACTTGTGGATATACTCCCGCAAACTGAGGGCACAGATCAAGAAATACACATAGGTGGGATCCAGAAACAGTAGATCCAACTAGAAAAATCATGAACAGAAATCCTATTAACTGTATCTGTGTATTTGCAACACAAACCACACCAAAAAACCAAAACCTGTTGCTATCAAGTTGATTCCAACTCATAGCAACCACACGTGTGTCAGAGTAGAACTGCACCCTACAGTATTTTCAATGGTTATAATCTTACAGAAGTAGATTGCCAAGACTTTCTTCCTTGATGCCACTGGATCGATTTGAACCACCAACCTTTGGATTTCTGCTGGTGTTGGTAGGTGCCGTTTAGTCAATTTTGATTCATAGTGACCCCATATCACAGAGTAGAACTGCCCCATTGAGTTTTCTAGGCTGTAATCTACAGGAGCAGATTGTCAGGTCTTTCTCCCATGGAGCCACTAAATGCGTTTGAATCACCAACCTTTCGGTTAGCATCCAAGCACTTATCCATTGCGCCACCAGGGCTCCTCTGGATTAGTAGCCAAGCGCAAACTGTTTGCACCACCCAAGGACCTATCTGCAGCATAAAAATAAAAACCAAACCAGCTGCCGTCCAGTTGACTCTGACTCACGGTAATCCCGTCATTGCAACTGTGCTTCATACGGTTTTCAATGGCTGATATTTTGGAAGTAGATTGCCAAGGCACTTCAGAAGCGTGAAGAGTTCCATGTTTGTTTGTTTTTTGTAAAATAGAGGGTAAATAAAAATGAGGTAAACCCTCAATGAAACGGACTGACACAATAAGCCACAACAATGGACTCAAACATGCCAATGATCATGAAGATGGCACAGGACCAGGCGACGTTTTGTTCTGTTATACATAAAGTTGCCATGAGTTGGAGCTGACTTGACAGCAACAAACAACAACAAAGCTACAGTAATACAAACAGTGTTTTACTGGTATAAGAACAGGCATACAGACCAATGGAATAGAACTGAGAGTCCAAAAATAAACCCACACAACTATAGTCTATTCGGTCCTCGATGAGTGTGTTAAATCCATTCAATGGGGGAAGAATGGTATCTTCAGCAAACGGTGCTGGAAAAATTGGATCTTCACATGCAAAAGAATGAAGTTGGATCCATACCTCATACCATATACAAAAGTACCTTAAAACAGATAAAGGCCTAAATATAAGAGCTAAAACCATAAAACTCTTAGAAGAAAAAAGAGGGGTAAATCTTCATGACCTTGGATTTGACCATGGTTTCTTAGATATGACACCCAAATTTCAAGCAATAAAAGAAAAAAAATAGGTAAGTGGCACTTCATCAAAATTAAAAACTATTGTGGGTCTAAGGACATTATCAAGAAAGTGAAAGGACAACTCACAGATTGGGAGAAAATATCTGCAAATCATATATCTGATAAGGATTTAATATCCAGAATATATAAAGAACTCCTACAACATAACAAAAAGAAAATCCAGTTAAAAAATGGGCAAAGGACTTTCATAGACATTTACCTAAGAAGATAGGCAAATGGCCAACAAGCACATAAAAAGATGTTCAACATCATTAGTCATTAGGGAAATGCAAATCAAAACCACAATGAGATATCATTCACACATACTAGGGTAGCTATTATTCAACAACAACAAAAAAATAAAACAGAAAGTAGCAAGTGTTGACAAGGATGTAGGAAATTTGTACCCCGGTGCACTGGCGGTAGGAATGTAAAATGCTGTAGTCACTGTGGAAAACAGTTCGGCAGTTCCACAAAAAGTTAAAGAAATACCATAAGGCCCAGTAATTCCACTCCTAGGTATATAGCCAAAAGAACTGAAAGCAGAGGCCCAAACAGATACGTGTACACCAATGTTCATAGCAGCATTATTCACAATAGCCAAAAGGTAGAAACTAAGCCATGTCTATCAACAGATGAGTGGATAAACAAATGTAAAATATACATACAATAGAATATTATTCAGTCATAAAAAGCAATGAAGTTCTGATACATGCCACAACATGGATGAACCCTGAAAACACTATGCTAAGTTAAATAAGCCAGACACAAAAGGACAAATATTGTAGTATTCCACTTACATGAAAGATCTAGAATCAGTAAATACATAGAAATGAAAGGTATATTAGAGGTTACGGGGGGCTGAGAGAGGAGGAAATGGGGAGTTACTGCTTAATAAGTACAGAATTTGTTTGGAGTGTTGGAAGTTTTAAAAATGGTGATGGTTGTATAACATTGTGAATGTAATTAATGCCACTCTATTGTACACTTAAAAATGGTTAAAATGGCAAAATATATGTTGCATATATTTACAATAAAATTTTAAAACAAAAAATTTGTTTTTTTTGCAAATCTAATGCGCTTTTTTTTTTATTATTGTACTTTAGATGAAAGTTTACAGAACAAACTAGGTTCTCATTAAACAGTTAGTGCACATACTGTTTTGTGACATTGGTTACCAACCCCACAACATGTCAACACTCTTCCTTCTCCACCTTGGGTTCCCTA